GCTCGGCAGGGGCAGCTGCAGGCGGACCTGGGGGCGCAGAACGGGAGCGGACTGGGTGGGCGGAAGGGGCATAAGTGTGCGGGCGGAGGAGGAGGAAGGGGAGGAGGAAGTGGGCTCTCTGGAGGCCAGGAGGTTGTGGGGAGGGAGGACTGGGTTCTAAAGACCAGGGGTGTGCGGGAAGTAAGGGGTCCTGAAGGGAGGGTGGTTGTGTGGGGAGGGTCCGGGTTCTGAAGATCAGGGGAGCCAAGGTTAGGGGAGTCTGGGGTGACAGAAGTGGAGATCTGTCATGTTGCCATGTGGCTTTTTCTTTTATAAACGTGTGTTCCTGCACAGGGACAAGAACTGCACAGACATCTGGGAGGCCTTTCAAGCAGTGCTGGCCAAGGACCCCTGCTCCGTGCTGCCCTCCGACTACGACCTTTACATAAACCTCTCCAGGCACTCCATTCCCAGAGACAAGGTAACTAACTCGAGGGCCACACAATGGGTTCTTAAACTGGACGGAGGGCCGGAACAAAAGCATGGATGGAGTGTTTGTGTGAACTAATATAAATTCAAAGTAAACATCATTACATAAAAGGGTACGGTCTTTTTTTTTAGTTTTATTCATTTCAAATGGGCCGGATCCAGCCAGCGGGCCGTAGTTTGCCCACGGCTGGGCCAGAGGCATGAGATTCCCTGTTCTCCAGAAGAACAGGGTAGCAAACACCCATTTGAGCCACAACCTCCCAGAGCGCTTGCCCTGTGGGGCTCTGGGTGGGAAGGTGGTTTATCTTCATCAGTGATCCCGGCTCCAGCCTGCCTGGGCAGAAGGAGATTTCCTAAGTCAACAAGTCAGTGCAGGAGTCACAAGGACTCTGGACGTTGCCACACTCCCGCCCTGGGCTTCCCCCGAGGCGGAGTCTTTCTGGTTTTGTTTTTTGTTAATCCTCACCCGAGGATATTTTTCCATTGATTTTTTAGGGAGAGTGGAAGAGAGAGGGAAAGACAGAGAGAAACATTAATGTGAGAGGAATACATTGATTGGTTGCCTCCTGCACAAGCCCCAACCAGGGCCTGGGCTGGGGAGGAGCTTGCAACCAAAGTGCATGCCCTTGACCAGAATCAAACCCAGGACCCTCTGGTCCACAGGCCAACGCTCTATCCACTGACCCAAACCGGCTAGGGCCAGGGCAGATTCTGGGTGACCTCTGTCCTCAATGACCCTAAGGGCCTGACCTTGAGTAATTCAGAAAGTGCTCAACATCAAGTAGCCTCCCAGAAAACCCATTTCTCCTTTTAATGGGCCTTAAGGTTATATCTCTTCAGTTCCAGTTTAAGAAAACCACATATCTGTACATTCTAATATAATAAATGAATGAAGTTATGTATTTATGTATTTATTTATTTATTTTGGTTAATCCCACCCGAGGATATTTTTCCATTGATTTTTAGAGAGAGTGGGAGAGGGAGAGACAGAAAGAAACATTGATGTGAGAGAGACACATTAATTGGTTGCCTCCTGCACGCACCCCGACCAGGGCCGGGAACCTGCAACCAAGGTATGTGCTCTTGACCAGAATCGGACCCAGGACCCTTCAGTCTGCAGGCTGATGCTCTATCTACTGAACCATACCGGCTATGGTGGGAGGTTACGTTTGAAATCTGTGGCGGGGAGCTGTGTGGAGCCCCTGCCGTCAGCGAGTGTGGTAGCCGTGGTGTATGGTGGGTGCTCCGAGTTGTGGGTGCGCCAGGCTGTGGGCCTGGCCATGGTGCGGCAGCTCTCTCTGGAGCGGGACATCACCCTTCACAGGGCCTGAAGTCGTTTTTTTCACTTGGCATCAACATCACTTTATATCAGAGTGACATTTATCCAGCTGAAACCTTTACTTGAGCTCAGAAATAGGGACTCATCCTTGCTTGTCACCACTGATACTGAGTCCATGAAATACCTAAATCATATGATGGAATAATTAAAAGACCTGTTAGGCAAGTGCTCAGTTCAGAAACATGTGGTAGTCATCTCAAATATTTAAGTAGTGAAAAGTAGTGAAGTCCTTGAAAGATGGCAGTTTGATACTGAGGGTACAAGACTGCCAAAGATGACAGTACACCCACAGGCAAGCTCTCCAAGGTGAAGTCCGCTTGGCACTCACACAGAACACAGCTACGGTGGCAGAGGAGGCTTCCTGATCTCCACATGCAAAGATTTGGCTGTACCTGTGGAGTGGGAAAGTTGGGACCACAGTTTATAACCAATTCTGAATAAGTCCCCCTGCCTTCCTTCTGTTCTATAACCCATAAAGTAAGCAGCTCGGTGCCCGACAAAATCCTGTCCATGACTGGAGATGGGACAAGAACAATAATGGAATTCAAGAACAATGATGGAATTCTCAAATGTGTGTTTCCTGAAACCAAGCCAACTATCGTTCATGTTTTATTTCATTGATTAACTTTGAGATGGGGAAAGCTACATTATATTTTACTGAACTGTGCATAATTGTGCCCTTTTTTTGGTACCTGTTTGACTTTCCATCAGGTTGACATAATATTTTTGGCCACTGTTCTAAAGGGAACCAGCAGGTTACATCAGCGCTGTAACGTCAATTCTTTTGAAGATAGGAACTGTAGATGGAAAACTTGCTATAGAGCTAAATGCCTGCCTAAATTAGATCTTTTGGTCATGTAGCTTGACTCAGAATATAGATAAATATGAAACACAGCAAAAGAAGTGTGAATATTCAGAATCTTTACTTAGGTCCTAAAGTAACTGATAATCCACAATCACAAAACATTCCTACTGGATACCTTTTGCCATTTGTTTCATTTGAATAGTTTCCATATTGAAAAAATTTCCAATTATTTGATTTTAGTGTATATAATTTACACTTACAAAGCTATCACTATTTCTACTCTTTAAATTCCCATAGTATAAAACTCTTAAAAATACCTTTGTTGTGTTTTATAAAATCAGGCTTTAAATGACAATGATAAAGTTAAATGTGTATATTTAAAAAAATAATAATTAAGAAAAGTGGCCTAAAATGTTTTCTTTGAACAGTGCCTTGAGTTTAAGGACTGTTAGAGAGCATTTTTATTTCTCTGACATAATAATAATTCTTTTTAAAATATATATATTTTATTGATTTTTTACAGAGAGGAAGGGAGAGGGATAGAGAGTTAGAAACATTGATGAGAGAGAAACATCGATCAGCTGCC